ACCAAGCAGCAGACCCTACAATATTGTACAGGTAAACTTTTCAAATGTAATTTACCAACTTTTACACTAAATTCTTGAAGTATTCGTATATAAGAATATTGTGTGCTTGTGTATTGTACAGTTCTGGTATAGCAAATACCTACTATAGATTCTATTACATGTATTTCTAAAAATCAATTATATTTTCATATGTATATTGATGGATGGATGAAGGCACAATATTAGCCTATACTATATACGGAAAATAGAGTAAACTTAGGTCTTAATTTGTCAAATAATTTTATTGAAAAACAACATAAGGAAACATTTATTCATTTAATTTAAAAAATTAGGTTAGAGTATTTTATTGAAAAATGACGCATATACGTAAGTCTACCTGTTATTAAAACTTTATGCCAGGGATGGCCAACTTAATCAAACTCGAGACCTACTAATCAGATTTTATTTTAAATCTTTACCACAAAATTGAATGGAAATGTTGTTTTTAGATAAAATTCAAACCAAATAAAAACAAAAGTACAAATAGTATTTTTTAATTTATTAAATGGAAAAAACAAGGCATTAAGGATGCTTATTAGTAATTAGCAATTTATTTTTTTTTACATACTCAAGTTTTTCTCTGCTTTGTTGCGATCGACTGGACCGATATCCACGATTGACAGATCGATCGCGATCTATTGGTTGGCCATCCTTGTTCTATACTATATTCGTCATAAAAAAAAGTACACGTAAACAAAGATCATCTCTGTGTGTCATGGTGATTCAAAAAAGTCGCCTTATAAATTGACTCTTCAGTGGAGTAGTCTAGGTAAAGCCTGCCAAGCACACCTTTATTGGACTCCAGGGTAGTAACGATTAATATTTTTTCTTCGGTTGTAAAAACGTACTTTTTCAAGGAGTACCTGCTCTGAAAAGTCCCGATAAATCAGTTTTAGTATACTTATGCATGCGTGTCTGAACCTAAATGAGAATTGGTGTCGCTCGCTGTAGCCAACAAAATGGAGAATGCATACGTTTCAACAGTAATGCACATTACGATAGCCAATACCATGCCAATGTTTTGCTACAGCCTTCTGAAAGAGCTTATTCTTAACGTTTTACTTTATCTATCTATACATACGTACATATACTATACAACACATTACGTTACGGTTTTCCACAAAAGACAGCCTATTTTGTTGTTTGCAATTTGGGTTCACTTATTGTGGTAAATAAATAGGTTCTAAGTTTAGGGTTTGAAGTGTTGCATCTTCACTTCCCGGATAGGGGAATCAACAGTCTTTTTGCTTCTTAAATGTATAGAAATGGGTGTGTGATTTGTTCATGTTCTAATTTTCCATTCATTTTTTTTAGGAAACGAGAAAACGAAAGGGTCTTAAGGAAGGTCTACCAGACCTTAGCCAATATTTGGACAAATTGTAAACACCGTCAATAGATTAGGGAATGTACTTTTCAAGAAATAAATTATAACAACATTATTTCTTGTTTCCAATCTTTATTTCCGTTGTAATTATTAATATTATTTCTGATATTTTTCGAGGGATAAAATTGCATCTGCTGACGTCATCCTTACAATTAAAATCACTTTTATTAAGTTTAGTGGATGTTTCTGTATTTTTTTATTTTGGGAGTTGTTTTACATTTTTAAAAATATATCTATAATTTATTCCATAAACTTGTATTTATTGATGAGTAACAGTTGTGGTTGGAATAATTAATTTTAGTCGCAGAGTGAACCAGGAAATTACTTGAGGACAAGACAACCACAGGGGCTCTGGAATAAATAAGGCAAGTTTTCATTTTTTTGTTTTTCATTTAACAGATTGAATATTTCTTTCAAAAATGATGTAAATATTTTATTCCATAATTACATCGACGTGTTATAGAAATCCTTCATGTAAGATTAGGAGCAGAAGGAGTTGTTTAAAAGTTGTCAGCAAATATTTCATGTATGATTGGGTTGAGAGTGAGAGGGAGTTGGACAGGAGGGAATTGTTTCAACCTTGTACATATTTTTTAACTCCCCTTAACCTAACCTTCCCTGAATTATTTGCGAGATAACGTTAATAGTTNGGTGGGTAAAGCGATGCTGTTATGTGTATGATGTTCTTATTTAAATTTAGAACATCAAAAGGAAATACAGGTACAAGATTTCTTCTTTTTATTGCATGTATCATCAAAACTTGAAACATTTGTAGGTGATAAAGTAACTTTTTGATGATAGTACATATAGTACAATAATTTTGATGCAATATTACTATTTTATATAAACAATATTTTTTTTTAATAAAACATTTTTACTTTACCAATTGTTTTATTTCACCATTACACTAGTGATAACAATTACTTTTTCAATTTTAGACACATACATTTAAATGAATTTTAACACAATTCCTTTATTAGCAATATATGTAAATAGTAAGGTAAAAGAAAACAATTTAAGAAATCAAGCATAAGACTACAAAGAAAAAGCTATGTATAGAAATTTAATTATATCGACATTTATATTTAGAAGCAATAATTATACAGTTATAAGATTAATAAATTGGAAACTTCTCTGAATCGCAGTAATTTGGCACAAGATATAAAGTGATTTATTGAAACGTTTAAAAATTAATACTTCACCTTACCTACATTATATTAATTATACCCTTATTTTTATGTAATGTATGCTTTTATAATGCAGTAATAATAGAAGTTTTCAACTAACTATATCCATGAAATAAACATTTTTACATAATAATACAATAATCCTAAGGTATATATTACTGATCGACTTGTGTATATCAGGCAGAAAATCGATGATTGTGATCGATGAAGTACAGCCACGGTGTTGTATTTGTATTATAATCAAAATCGGGGAAATTTCCAGTTGGAATGTCGTTCCTGCTAATCCTGGTTTATGTCCTCCAGTCAGGCAATCGCTCTAGCTTCAGGTAGGAATGCTTCCCAGTATTTAACAAGCTATTTTTTTAATGAGATCATGTATTTATATATATAAAAATGGAATTAGAAAATTAATTAACTTACTTGAGCTTGATGATTCAAATGATTTTCTAGGTAACTGATGAAAGCATTCCTGAAGTCTTCTATTCTGCATTTTTCAAACCGTTCCATTTCAGCTTTTATTATGTTTGATATTCTGTTGAAATTTTCTTGACCTCTTTCCACTTTAGCTTCCCACTAAAACAATTTTTTTGTCTACTTAGAAGAACAAAAATTGTTTTAAATACCTCAATAACTTCTACTCCAGCTTGATCCAATTTATCATTTCGACTGCTGAGTTCAAGCTTTGCTTTTGCCTCTCTTTTACGATTCAACATTTGCTGTGAGTGTTGCCAGTGTTGAAACAATTTAGTACGTTCATGAAAAGCATCTCGGACAGCTCCCAGCAGACCCAAATAATCCTTCAGCATTTCACACAATATGTAAAAGTCAGTATTTGCTTGTTCAATGTGTAAACATTCGACCTAAAAAAAAGGATTTTAAATTAAATGATTGTATAGCAATGTTTACAGGTACCTACTGCGTTTCGGTTTTTAACTTTTTTGAATTCTACTTATGATTTTAGATAGACTTTTATACAACATTCCCACTTGTAAAATTTACCGTTTTCGAGATATTTTTTTAAAAAAAGTAGCAGAACAATAGGTAGCGAAAAAACATGCCTATTTTACAATAAGAAAGCTGGAGTAATAATATTCACAGGAGAGATAGCTATACCTTCAAGCATTCCGTCCATACTTTCAAAGTGGGTTAATTACATACAGAGTGTTAGATATTTAATGGCGGAATTGGCAACTTTAGGTTACTTCAATCACAGTCGTTTTTTTTAAATGGAACACCCTGTATGTATTTTCATACCCTTATGCAGAATTTTATGCTTTTTCGAATGTACTAGGTTTCCTATACCCATCCCCTCAAATTTTCAAATTATTTACTGTTCTTTCTGAAAGCAACTAAAATTGTTTAATTTTTTACAAAGATGGCTCTGAAATTCTTAGCATTGTTCTCACTCGAACACCCATACTGATAGATTATACTAATTAATTGTTTTGATTCTCACGATCAGTGTTGCTAGTTCAATTTTATTTCCTTATTTCTTACATTTTTGCGGTAACACATTTGCGCCACCTGGGCCACTCTCTTCCACCCCCCCCCCTTCGCGTGTTAGGCCACTAACAAAGGTGACATTATTTTCATTTTTTGATAACTTTATTATTACGCATTGCAAGTTTTTTTACTGCTTTTTATTTGAAATTCCTTTTCGCGGTTCTGAAATGCTGGAAAACGATTGAAATTATCAAATTGAAACAACTATAACAATCTTATATAAGAATGATGTTTATATCATGTATTATAACCAAAGTTACCAAAATATTTCGTTAAAAGAAATATGACACAATTTCAGCTTCAAGGATCGCGCACGTGGCGTCCCCTGTAACAGATTTTTAAATTAATATAAATAATACGTTTTGTCTAGTGTCAATTTATAAAAATCTTGTGAAATTATTGTCAAAAAACGAATATAATATGTCTATTTGGTCCAAATAACCTGCACCTGCTTTATGTCCCAATAGTTATGACTCGCGTTGTATGATATCGACATCTATTATGACGGTATCGTGATTTATCTCAAACTGCATATGGCGTGCTGATTAGATCAAATTCGCGATCCACATCTGTTAGTTTTTACAAATTCCTAACCAAAAATGTAATCCGTTGTGATTAATTTGTTTTACGTGCCTTTCATGTATAAGTATATATAACTAATATAAGTTGGATGGTCGACTCAATTACACTAGTAAATACCTTAATAAGGCCCCTGTCTAACATTTGAAATACTTCAAACAGCAGCAAATATCAGTAGAGGCGACATACTGCCGTAATTCGGTATTATATAAATTATTTATATTTATTTTACAAAATTTAATTTACTCCAGATTTTACTATTCAATGCGTGAACTTCAAGTGTGAACAGAAAATAAAATACCTTTTCTTCAGTGTCTGCTAGTTGTGAAAGTGCTCTTGACAGTGAGTTGTGGTCTTCACAAGCACTTAGCATTGCTGCTGAACGAGCTACTCCATTGGTTAGATTAGCTAATTCTTTACGATATGTTACTAGAGCTTCTACACTATTATGAAGTTTCCTTAATTGAGATTCAAGAGATTCTACATGAGCTAATTTATTTTCAAACCACTAAAACATTTTTAATTAAAAATTGTAAGAATTATATTACTTTTGTTTTTATTATTGTAAGACTGAAAATTAAATATTTTAGAGTCTAGGCAAAAAAGTGGCAGATTGCTTTGGTACTTACTGGGTCAGATTCATCCATTTTATAGGTCATTTTATTTACTGTTTCCCCAACTTTATTAAACAATCTCATCACTCCTGCGCTGCTCAAAGCAGATGTGCTGGTGGCTTTAGGTAGCTCAATATCTGGAAAATTTAATAATACAGAATATACAATATAATTGAAAAAGTGGAGTTTACGACACCCTCCATGAACTTGTGTAAAATTTTGCAATGGTACCAACTTAACCTAAGGCGTTATAACGAACCTTAACTCAAAACGCATGGCCGCAGTTCTTACTTGCATACGGTTCTGTATTGACCACATGCTTGACAGTATAGTGGAACAATATTTGACTAGTTTTCAGCAAAATTGGAAATTAGCGATATGGGCCAGCATTTGTTCGTTGTATTAAATATGTGCACCGTTACCGCTGCTTTGAAGTGTTCATGCCAAATTCTCACTAGAAAACAGTTGTTAATAAAATCAGAAAGAGGAAAACAGATTGTGTGCGCAACCATTCTAATCAAGATTGAACTAATTCCGTCCATCACTCTTGATGTGGGTTTAGACCTATTTGTTGCACTTTTTATTTCATTTGGAGTGCACATAAAACAAATAAAATAAAGGAATGGGGCTACTTCATTTGATCTAGCAGTTTTAGGCATTAAGAAATTGTCTTAGTTAACTTATCAATACCTACGTGAAGACTTTGTTACGATCAGAATATCTCTGTCGCCAAAGCCCTCTCTTGATTTTTTACTTTTGTTAACACTTTTTTTTACTTATAATACATCGAAGACGTGATCAACATCATTAAAGACATTACAACTGTAGGGATAGATATACAGGAGCAAAAGATTAGTATGCTTAGATTTGGAGATGATATAACACTATTAGCATCTAGCAAGGAGGAGTTAGAGATAGCTTAAAGATAAAATGGAAGCGGTATTGACAAAACAATACTGTATGAAAATAAATAAAAAAAACACAAAATACTGGTATGCAAGGGAAGGAAAAGCAGGGAAAGAGCGAATTAAAGATAGGAGGCGAAAAATTAAAAGAACGTGGCCGATTTTAGGTATCTAGGAATTCAGATTTATTATTATTACATGCATTTTTATGATTATGTAAAAAGTTGTTGAACATAAAATTGATTGACTCTTGTTGAAACTATGCGATCAAACATGTTTTGGAAAAAATCCGAAGGTGGAAAATAATGAAAAAGTGGCATAAAGGTGTGAATAAATTGAACCTACATTCTCAATAGAATTACCACGGTAATTGAAGTAACAATCACTAAACGAAACTACAAGTCTTACCAAAATAATTGAATAATATGTTATTTGATTTCGATCAGGCTACAATAGCATTAAAATAATGAATTCCGCCAGCGTAAATTAAAATTTCTGCGAGCTGGAAAGAATCAACAAGGTCGTTTATAAAAAAATGTATCAGCAAAAATATAAATTTCTCAATTTTAACTTTCTGAGAAACGTGTTGAGTAGTTGGTAATTTTGTACATTAGTGGTCGAGTATACAGACCCTTCAGGTCGGGGTATGCGTACCACTAATACTGAGAAATGCAGGTACCTGAACATAAACATAACATTTATATTACATAGCCTATGAAGTTCGATACAATACAATACCCTCGTTTTTGCTGTTCGCATCTGCCTTGTTGTGTTATTAAAAGCCTTATTATTTTCTGTATTATCGCGCCAGTCAACCCCCTCAAAAATAATAAATAATATAAGGCCAATGTGAGGACCTTAGGGTACTCCTAAAGTTACATCAATAAATTTTGAAGCAAACTTGTTGACTCTAACAGCTTTTTGACGACCAACAAGATAAAAGTAACATACCCTCAATGTCAATCACTTCTATCTTTTAAAGAATGTGATGGTCGACACCATGGAAGGGTTTAACGTTGTAGGCTTGTATTACGTACGTATGTACAGTCGAACTCACTGCTGTAGGTCAGTGTGATAGTGCCATAGGTAAATGCAGAATAGTAGTTGTTACAATGACATTTAGTACGGCAGAATTTTGTGGCATACTTATTTGCGGCGAATATAAATACAACGTAAAAGCAACGGCAACGGTTAAATTTTACTCGATATCACCAGCGAAAATTTCCTCATCGGCAAATTTTTTAAATGTACAAAGAAACCAGCAATGTATACTCTACATGTAAGTGCTGTGGGGGTCGATGCCCCAACATATCCCTCTCACATTGTAAGACCAGTGCGTGAGATTGATCGAGCGGATCCTGTATCATGACCGGCGTGAAGACCGAATCTAAATCCGCTTAGCTTCTTCTGATTTGCACGACCGTATGAGGATCACAGCAAATGAAATACGCTAAATGTCGGGTGTTTTCGCGTGACCCAGAAATAAGTTTGGTAAATGCCTCGAAGCCTGTTTTTTAGCATGGGGTGGGAATTTTTGTAGTATTCGTACGTCTGTGCGTATGTGTTTATTAGTATTGCAATTAATAAAATTACAATTATATATCCAGAGGATATTAATACACTCATGAATGTTTATGTAACGTTAATTTTTTCTTTTGTGTTCCTAATGTCATATCGAGCTGTATTTGAAATAGTGCTGCCTACTATCAACGACGAAAAGTTATTTAAAAAATGGACGTCTAAACATTAGTATGTGTAGTGCCGTAGTAGGAAGTTGTTGATACTTCATTGGTTGTTCTACGTACAATCGGCACCGTTCTAATTTTCTTAGAATTTTTTTTGTCCCTTAACTACGCTGCTTTACTCACCATGCGATTCCCTATTGTATATAGTTAATACCTTCCAAAGCTCGCCACTTATTTCAGAAACAGGAATAGTTACTTCACAAGGCTCGTTTAAAACCTTCACAATAAAATCGTTATATACCTAAGATTAAATTACTAAATGCAGAACGCCCATTTAAATATCCATATTGCTGACATTGCTGTCAACTCAGGGATTTTCTTACAAATTTAAGGAGTATTTAAGTCGTATAAAATACAACTGGAAAATTGTGATAAAAAATAATTTGCAACAAATAACATCAAGAAGCATTAATAAGGTGCTCAATTGCCTATAATTTGTTATATCATTTGTTTTTTGTGTATTATCTGAATATAAGCGTGTCTTCAACCATGAGGAACGGTTCCTGACTCAAAAGAATCTGAATTTAAACTAAATCTGGAATAAACGGAGAAAAAAAAAACAAAAAACAACTCTACAGTACTGTCCATTTCTAGCAAATACATTTTTCTCCAATTACTTCAAAACCCATTACACCCGATTTTTTTTATTAGTTTTAAGATTACATACATACCTATTTACAAATTTCCAGATAGGATTTGTAAGGTGGATTGATTTAGTGGTAAACCGCCCGCTTGTAAGTCGTGACAGGGGCTCGATTGTTAACTGACATGTTTTTTTAAAGATTAAAATTATTTGGTTAGATTAGCTAATTCTTTACGATATGTTACTAGAGCTTCTACACTATTATGAAGTTTCCTTAATTGAGATTCAAGAGATTCTACATGAGCTAATTTATTTTCAAACCACTAAAACATTTTTAATTAAAAATTGTAAGAATTATATTACTTTTGTTTTTATTATTGTAAGACTGAAAATTAAATATTTTAGAGTCTAGGCAAAAAAGTGGCAGATTGCTTTGGTACTTACTGGGTCAGATTCATCCATTTTATAGGTCATTTTATTTACTGTTTCCCCAACTTTATTAAACAATCTCATCACTCCTGCGCTGCTCAAAGCAGATGTGCTGGTGGCTTTAGGTAGCTCAATATCTGGAAAATTTAATAATACAGAATATACAATATAATTGAAAAAGTGGAGTTTACGACACCCTCCATGAACTTGTGTAAAATTTTGCAATGGTACCAACTTAACCTAAGGCGTTATAACGAACCTTAACTCAAAACGCATGGCCGCAGTTCTTACTTGCATACGGTTCTGTATTGACCACATGCTTGACAGTATAGTGGAACAATATTTGACTAGTTTTCAGCAAAATTGGAAATTAGCGATATGGGCCAGCATTTGTTCGTTGTATTAAATATGTGCACCGTTACCGCTGCTTTGAAGTGTTCATGCCAAATTCTCACTAGAAAACAGTTGTTAATAAAATCAGAAAGAGGAAAACAGATTGTGTGCGCAACCATTCTAATCAAGATTGAACTAATTCCGTCCATCACTCTTGATGTGGGTTTAGACCTATTTGTTGCACTTTTTATTTCATTTGGAGTGCACATAAAACAAATAAAATAAAGGAATGGGGCTACTTCATTTGATCTAGCAGTTTTAGGCATTAAGAAATTGTCTTAGTTAACTTATCAATACCTACGTGAAGACTTTGTTACGATCAGAATATCTCTGTCGCCAAAGCCCTCTCTTGATTTTTTACTTTTGTTAACACTTTTTTTTACTTATAATACATCGAAGACGTGATCAACATCATTAAAGACATTACAACTGTAGGGATAGATATACAGGAGCAAAAGATTAGTATGCTTAGATTTGGAGATGATATAACACTATTAGCATCTAGCAAGGAGGAGTTAGAGATAGCTTAAAGATAAAATGGAAGCGGTATTGACAAAACAATACTGTATGAAAATAAATAAAAAAAACACAAAATACTGGTATGCAAGGGAAGGAAAAGCAGGGAAAGAGCGAATTAAAGATAGGAGGCGAAAAATTAAAAGAACGTGGCCGATTTTAGGTATCTAGGAATTCAGATTTATTATTATTACATGCATTTTTATGATTATGTAAAAAGTTGTTGAACATAAAATTGATTGACTCTTGTTGAAACTATGCGATCAAACATGTTTTGGAAAAAATCCGAANAATGGCTTGGCGGTAAGAGATTTGCGGACAATGAAGAAGTAATCGAAGCTGTAAATGGTTATTTTGAGGAGCTTGACGAATCAGTCTATAGAGATGGCATTAATAGACTTGAACACCGCTATGAGAAATGTATCAGCCTTGGAGGAGATTATGTTGAGAAATAAAAAAAAAAAATTTTTAAAAACCTTGTTTTTCTTGGTCAGGCCGGAAACTTATCAATCCACCCTCGTACATATTTCATTTCTATTTTTAGACTCATGTATTTTCATTTGTCTGTATGTATCACGTCGACAAAAGTGAATTGGATATGGGATCGGAATTCTAATGTGGGGCCAAACAAGCTGCCTGAGCTATTGGCACGGTATAAAGTAAATACGAAATACATAATTTTACAATCGTACTTGGTTCAAGCAGCAGAAGTTTGGTATCACCGGAAAGTGCCTGCAAATAAATGAGCGCCTGATTTGTTGTTTTCTATTTGCGTTGTACGTAAATGCAAAATAGTGTAGTTAGTGAAACAAACCATCACTTATTTTTAAGTGATTTGAAACCAATAAAGCGACCTGTTTCATTTAAGATAGTTGGTTCGCGAGTCACAACAGAATATAGTAATTGTATAGACATATATATTCTGGTCCTGTAATATGCGTTTGCGAATCTAAAAAGAGAGAAATAAATTCTGAGTGTCACCTCTTTGTTTGATGATTGGCTCGTTAGTTGTGAAAACACAGACGCCTTTATAGTCCGACAGCTAGTGGACATTTTTGGGTAGGTATTTGAGGCATGCTGAATACTCGTTCAATACTTCTATATTCTATAATACCCAAATAAAGAACCACAGGTATCAGTCCTTTTCAGGCATTTTGAAATTGTTATAACTTTAAACTTAATACATAAAGAGTGAAAAAATAAATAAGCCAGATTATTTAGTCAGGTCTAAAAGTTTGCTAGGTGCTTGCAAAATAATTTTTCAAAAGAATTGAAAATATATATTTGAGGCATGTTGAAATTTTAACAGCATATTTCGTATAATAAAAGTAAATATTTTAAAAAAGACAACCAAATGATCTGTATTTTACAAATATTTATTTCAAAGTATAAGAAATTTGCTGTTAAAATTTCAGCATGTCTTAAATACATTTTTTCAAATTTTTGGAAAAATTATTTTGCAAGCACATGGCAAAATTTTAGATCCAACTAAAATAATCTGGTTTATTTTTTTCACTCTTGAATCATTAGATTTGAAGTTATAAAAATATAACCATAACTGAATCCATATTTTCAATATAAGGCAAAGATCTTAAAATGCTTGAGATATAGATAGCAGCACTAAGTTCAGAGAGAGTGTCACATCTGCCCGAAACTGAAAACCAGATCATTACGCAATTTACCTGCTTCCAAAAATTCTCTAAAATCAGGGTCAACAACTAGCACAGAATGCTGAGCTGTTCTTCTTAAATATCTTTCTAATGATGCACGCCTTCTTTCAATAAAGTCAATACCATTTGCAGCAACAGCACCATCTGACTGATTCGACATCTTTATCTTGGTCATTCCTGTAGCATGTTAAAAAAATATTTAGTTGGAAAAATGGTTAGTTCACTAAATAATTAATAACATTACCAATGACACTTTTTTCTGGTGCAGGAGGTATTATTCTTCCCATTTTAAGGTATTTTTCCGTTAATTTGTCATGTAAACCTAAAAAATCACTAAATCTTCTCATTACATACACTTCCTTCTTTTTAAATAGTGGCATATTTGTTCTGGTTCTGACTTTATACAATACATAAGCTGCCATACCATCACCTACTTTTTGAGTATCAACAATGGAGATGTCTATGAAATTATCAGAATTCTCCACTTCAACCTTTAACAACATGACATGAGATAAATAATATTAGGATTTCCATTTTAATAAATTCTAAATACCTCTTCTAATGGCTGATCTATGTTATTTTCATTATTAATTGGAACTGTAACCATATCTTGTTTATTTTCAAATGAATCTGCTTTGGGTTCATTATTATCCTCATTTGTTTTATCCATTGATTTTTTTCTTTCATCTTCCTTAATGATAACAGATGATGGATCCTGCAAAACATTTGCATATCGTATATACAGGAAGTAAATTATTTTATGATTGTAAAACGCCGATAAATCTTATCATAAGAGGCGGATATATAAAATTACACAAAATTAACTAAAACTAAAGGAATGTTATAATAATTTATATGTAGCTACTGTACCTGCATAGCAGAAACAAATAAATCACTTGTTTCATGATCCTTCAATTCTTCCAAAATATTCACATTTTCAAATAATGGAGGAGAAGCCGACTCAGCCATGATTTCCTTTTATTTGTTAATATATGTATATGTCTAATATTATCTATGGTTAATATTAATAATATTAATTGAGTATTCCAATGCACAGTTAATATTTAATAACAAGTTAATAACATAATTCGGAACACAGATTAAATTCGGAATTCCCTACTGGCATCTGACGAACTGTCAAAACGACCACTATAGGCTATAGATAAGAGATATACAAAGGGAACATTGTTGAATATATTTCATAGATATATGCATGTATGGTATTTTTCCGGCGACGAAAACACACGAAGTGACCTAAAGCTACACAGAGTGCTCGTTGGAATATGATAGTTCGAAATATATTCGGTAAGTGGCGTAGAAGATCACACTACTGAATTTTTGTTGTTAAAGTTACATCCGGAAACCTTTGCTCTTACCTATGGATCACACTACCTGTCATGACACCTTTTTTAGTATATAAAATACATAGGCCAGAGGTCATTCCAAAAAGCTACACCCACACAATACTATTACACAAAAACCATAACCACAGACAAAGTTATACTATGCACCTTGTCAAAATTTCTGACCTACGCAAAGGCAACCCTTTACTAACCTCTAAACCTTTCAAAAAATTCCTAGACAACAGTTCCCTTTATTAAATAGAAATGCTCCTTTCAGATCTTTCATTGCGCCTAAGTCTCACCCGGTATTCCAACAACAAAACTGGAATACACATCAAAATAATTTTCAAAGAACTTCAAGTAAAGGCGATGCTGCTATGAGAACCGTCTCTCAGTTTAGGCGACCAAATAATTCTCAAAATCAAGGACCTAATAATTTCCAAAACCATGAAAGACCTAAATTTAGTTAAAGAATGAACAAGACCCGTACGTTTATGACGAATACGGAAACACTTATTTACCCGCTCAACTATTTCTTTTTAGCAAGAATCAACAAAAATTAATTACGACTACGCAAGTAACCCATCATATTAGGAAAACTAACTATTCACATGTTTATCAAAAAAAATTCCCTTACCCACAAAAACTTAAAAACGAAATTTAAAATCAAGTCAAAAAAATTACTCAATGCCGGTGTAATAAAACCTTCTATTTCCCCTTACGCTTCTCTTGTTTGGACAGAAAGAAAGAAAATGGATGCTTCAGGAAAGAAAAAATGACGCATGGTTATCAATTTTCGCGAATTAAATAAAAAAACTGTCGAAGACAAATACCCATTATCGCGAATCGAAGACGTTTTAGATTCTTTAGGAAAATGGTCTTACTACTTTTTGAGAAAACGTTTTCTTTTGACGATGGTCATGTGGTCATGACGAATATGTACGTACGCACCCGCTACATTTCAATGCATGATGGACACGGTACTACGAGACTTTTTGTACAAATTTGCTTTTGCTTACATGGATGACATTGTAATATTTTCAAAATCGCTACATGAACACATAATATTGTAGCGAGCACAAGCGTGTTTGTGTGCGTGGGCGGCTTATCGATTCGCCGACTAGCCGCGGGCGCCTTTCTTCATGTGCGCCGTATTTGTAAATGTATGTGTCGTACCTGCGTTCTGGGAAAGAAGTTAAGCAGTTCAAAGAAAAACTAAACGATCCGGATGTTTCTAGAGGGTTCCAGAAAGGAAACAAAAGAGTATTTAAAGGGACGATCGCCGAAATTGACCGTTGCAGAAGTGAATCCAGAAATAAATTGACAGTGATAGCAGTGAAATAAATAGCGCAGTAAATACTGATATATTAATAATTAGTGTAATTAAATAGTTTTGTTGTTATCAGTCTAAGAAGTTTATTTTGTTAAACCCACGAACATTACAATAGTATAAAACAAAGTCGCTTCCTGCTGTCCGTCCCTATGTATGCTTAGATCTTTAAAACTACGCAACGGATTTTGATGCGGGTTTTTTTTAATAGATAGAGTGATTCAAGAGGAAGGTTTATATGTATAATACATTCATAATATAGAAGACAAACACTGATAATTTTAAAGGTTTGTAATGTGATGTCGTAAATAAACACATTTTTTGCGCTTACATTGCAAACGCTGAACGCTACGACATATATCAAAATAATGTACCATAGTATCGTACATCTTAAAAAGGTCTACAAAAAAGTCCGGAATAGTATATGTCTATCTCTTAGGGATAACCCACAATAATCATTTTTTATCCTTTACTTTTTATGAGAAATAATAGCGGTTTTAAGCAATACAGCATTAAATCTTAGCCAATTAAGTAGCTTAAATACATTGTGGATTTAATACAGATCAATATGGCCCTTTACAGCATGTACTTTAAATGAATATTTTCGAAGATATTACAGTTTTAAAATGCTAGGACATAGCGGTTGCGGCGGTACCGGCCGGTTGGTCTAATGTATTGTCTAATGACAAAAAAGCTGTGAATATTGTATATAAAGACTTTCTGTAGTATATTTAGTATGTTCAAGGGGTGTCTTTTGAAGATTCCCCTCCTCGAGAATCATCATCATCATAAGGTCGTCAGTCCTAAGACTGGTTGAACACGTACCTCCACTCTTTCCTATCCTCAGCTAAACTTCGCATTTCCCTAAAACTAGAACAGTCCACATTCTTAACTATTTGCGAACAGTAATCTAATCTAGGTCTACCTATACCCCGCTTAACTCCCGTTTCTGCCTCTAATATGTCTCTGACCAGACCTTCATGCCTGAGAAGGTGTCCTACCAACCTATCTCGCATATTTTTTATTGACTTCAATAGAGTTCTCTGTTCTCCTATTCTTTCCAATACCTCTTCATTTCTAACCTTTTCTACCCACGTTATCCTCATCATCCGCCTGTAACACCACATTTCGAACGCTTCTAACCTCTTCTTTTCCGCCGCGCCCACTGTCCATGTTTCGCACCCGTACAACGCCGTGCTCCAAACATACACCTTTAACAACCTTTTTCGATTTTCTAAATTAACCGTTCACGAGCATAGAAGTGACTTTTTTTATTAAAGGCGTCACGACCCTGCGCTATCCTCTGCTTTATATCCCTACTACTCCTTCCATCCTGACTTATCTGACTTCCTAGGTATCTAAAATCAGCCACTTCTACTAATTTTTCGTCTCCTATCTTTATATTCGCTCTTTACCTACTTTTTCTTCTTTTGCATACCAGTATTATAGTTTTACTTTTATTTATTTTCATACAGTAATGATCTGTCAGTACCGCTTCCATTTTATTTAAAGCTATCTCTAAGTCCTCCTTGCTAAATGCTAATACTGCTATATCATCTGCAAATCTAAGCATACTAATCTTTTGCCCTTGCACATCTATCCCTACAGTTGTACTGTCTTTAATGATGTTGATCGCATGATCGCGTCTTCGATGTATAGATTAAAAAGTAGCGGTGACAGTGTGCATCCCTGTCTGACTCCCTTCCTAATATTTACTACTCTACGTTGCAGCCCCAGCTATACAACTGCCTGTTGCTCTTTATACAAACTAAGTATCACTCTTCTATCTTTGTAACTCATCCCTACATTTTTAAGTATATTTATCCTCGAGAATAATCTACACAAATATATATATATATTTTTAGTATCAGCATTGCACCCGTGCGAAGCTGGGGCGGGTCGCTAGTAATAAATAAAAATAAAACAAAAATACTGGTATGCAAGGGAAGAAAAAGTAGGGAAAGAGCGAATATACAGGTAGGAGACGAAAAATTAGAAGAAGTGGCCGATATTAAGTATCTAGGAAGTCAGGATAGATAAGTCAGGACGAAAGTAGTAGAAGGTATAGAAAGCAAAGGACAGCGCAGGGTAAAGAAAATGTTTGAAGCATTCGAAATGTGGCGTTACCGATGAATGATGAGGATACCTTGGATAGAGAAGGTTAGAAATGAAGAGGTATTAGAAAGAATTGGAAAACAAAGGACCGCGTGGAAGTCAGAAGAAATAGGCGAAATAGGTTGATAGGACACCTTAGATATGAAGGGTTAGTTAGATATATGTTAGAGGAAGAAACAGGACTTAAGAGGAGTATAGGTAAACCTAGATTAGAATACTGTTCTCAAACAGTTAAGGATATATGGGTTGTTCTAGTTTTAGGAAAATGCGAAGATTAGCTCAGAATAGGAAAGAGTGGAGGTGCGTGTCCAATCAGTCTTAGGACCGACAACCTTATGATGATGATGATGAGAATCAAACAATGTATACCTACACAGAATACAGCCTGTAGCGACTAATAACTAGCGTTGAGTAGCATACAATCTCCAAGCCTATGAGTATAATGACGTAACGCCTGGCCACGCCACTTTTCCCTAGAAGAAGCAGAATTGTTTTTAAAACATTAATCGTGCGAATAAAATTTTGATTTTTTGCAGATCTCTTATTTTTCACTAGAACTTTCGATTCATTAATTAAAAAAAAAATTGCTGAACAAGCCCATTAAATGCATATACAACATTTTCGGTTCGTTCTGCTAACCTTTGGTAAATTCACTCATTAGGATCCAACTTTCATTGTATGTTGACACTTATTATATATTATCATGGTTACTATATTAAATTACGTACACAAAATTTGATGACTGTGCTGCTCACAGTTCAAGAATTTCTTAATTCTGAATGTCGATTCTGGTCATGCTTAACATAAAATTATGAAGGGTAGAGGTAAGAAGTATTATCTTTAGTGAAAAAGTGTCCATCAAACTGCGTTAAATTGGAATGGGGCCACAGTAGCAACAGAGTAAATTTCAAATAAAGCGCCAAAAGTTATTAGAACACCAATGAAATTACATTCTGATCAAGGCAGAAACTTAGAGATATGCAAAAGATCTTAGCTCCTTCTACCTAAACCGCATTGTGGACAGAAACTTTATCAAATAATTAAGTAATTACAGGCAGTAAACACAGAGACGTAACAATTTGGCACCATAAATATTAAGAAGTTTCACGTATAAGAAATAAAAGAGTGAAGGCATTTAAGTAATACTAGCAGCGAAACCCGACATTGCTCGGGTTAAAATACATCGCACGTTTCATCGTCATCGTATATATGACAGCTTGTCCTTTATTTTTTAATGTTTTCGTTCGTTGTAGAATTTTGCAGAACACAAAATTATTTCCGATAATGACAGACCACCCTGTACTTTTATAAAATTTCTTAAAAATAGTAGATCGTTCTAGAATATTTGGACAAAATCTAGAAAATTCTAGAAATCCTTGATAATTAATTGCGGACATTTGGAACTTTCCAGATATTTGTAGAACTTTCTGGAACATTCCATATCGATTTTAACAGTTGCACACAATTTGGAACTTTCCAGATCATTGTAGAACTTTCTGGAACATTCCATATCGATTTTAACAGTTGCACACAATTTGGAACTTTCCAGATCATTCCAGATATTTCTAGAACTTTCTGGAACATTCCATATCGATTTTAACAGTTGCACACAATTTGGAACTTCTAGATCATTCCAGAAATTTTTAGAACCTTTTAAAACATTCTAGACTGATTGTAACAGTTGCACACATTCTGGAGTTTTCCGGATCATTTCAAAAATTTTTAGAACTTTCCAAAAGGTCTCATAAGTTACTTTCATCAGGAGACCAAGGGTTATTTACCACCCCAATGGGAAGTTGATAGAAGTTGGTAGTGATAGAGAAAACCCTGTCTTTATATTTAGATTATTAAATTACAAAATCAAGTTAAGCAAATACAGTATTTTGAAATTAGTTGCGCAAAATTTGTCAAGTATCCGAATTTATTCATTTAATAGCAATGAATAAAAATTAAATATATA